GGGCCAGACTTGGGGGCCGCCGCCGCCTCAGTGCTGGGGCTGTCGCCTCCGAGTCATCACCTCTCACCTTCGTGGGAGGCTTCCTCTTAGTAAGTCTTCCTCGGCTTCAGTCTTTTCCCTGCTTCTTTAAGGGACCTGTATTATATCCCCGTATATTATATGTATTAAAATACACGGCAGGGAAAAAAAAAAAACAGGAAACCTCCCCACACCCTTTCCCGAAGCTTCAGATCCAGAAAAGCTCACGGGCTTTGGGGCGGGGGCCGGGGGGGAAGGCTCAGTTGGCTCCTGTCAAGAGGTGGAGGAGCAGCCGGTACGACAGCAAACCGTGAAACGGGACCTGGCGGCGTGTAGCAGCCCGGGAAGGGACACCATCAGCAGATCAAAACCTGCTGGGATTTCTTTCTAAATTAATACAGAATGCTAAAACTGACTATTAAAAGTGTTTTCAAGCTGTCAAGTATCAAGGGTTTCATATAATTGATAAAGGAAAATAAGGTTTTGAATGAGAAAACTGTCAGAAAGACAGTGAAGGAGTACTTACTTAAATTTGATTGGATTTCTTGTAGCTTTTTTTTTTTTGGTCAAAATGCAGTTAACAAGAAGTGTTTTGTGTTGCAGGTATGTTCTGGGATACATGCACTGAATTTAGAAGGAGGAAAGAATAATCTTTAGGCCATCTTTTTTTCACAAGGAAACAGGAACTTTGCTAATGACAGACACAGGAGCAGGACTTGACCAAAACCAGTAAATGGTCATGCTAACACGTCTACTGTTCTCCATCAGTAAAAGCTAATAGTTGAACAAGAGTGTATGGATATAAAACTCAAAAATAGTAATGTACTATTACAGATATTTAAATCACATGTTGAAGGGCAAATTTCTCCATCGGATGCACAGCAAGATGTGTTTCATTGTTACAGAGACAATATTTTTTGTGGCGTATTTGTTTCTTGGATTATCCTTTAGTCTTAAGTTTTTTGCCTGAAAGTACAACAAACAATGTGAAAATGTACAGGGTCTCAGAGCACCAACGCCCTATATTTTGAACAGGTGGTTTTTATACCAGCTGCAGAAAAGATCTGTAAGTGCCTTTCTTAAGGCAATGCTGAGTTTCTGAGCTGCGGAATTTCCTCCTTAGCTGTGCTGAAGTCTTGGGTGTGGATGCGAATTCCCCAAGAAGTGTGGGAGACTTCATATTTGTTTTCCTCAGTTACGCTTATCTCCACTAACAGTGCATGAAATTGGCAGTGACCCAGTGCTCATGTTCTCCCCCTCGTTTACCTGTACTTTACACATTAGTAGTCGTTTATCTCTCCAGGTGTGAAAGGAGTTTGCTGTTCTTCCAGTAGCTAGGTTTTCAAATGAGAAAGAAAACATTTTACCTGTCAGAGCTTTAGGGAAGGTTTGCTTATATTGTGCGCTATTTACTGTTGGTGTTAGCATACTCTAGTGTAAAGTATGTGTAAACAATGTAAAATCAAGCTAAAGCGAGGGTTTCTGTTCTCTTACAGAGATAAGTTATTAAGTCCTGCACCTGCAGGTTTCTCTCGTTCTTTGTGCCTTGCGGTAGAGAGAAACATACTGTATTGGTGGGAGCAAGTAATGAAAGAAAGAAGTGCAAGTGCAGTATAGGCATTGGATGGGACTGGATACCAACTAGGAAAAAGGGGGAGAGGATACGATAGAGAGGAGGAGAAGCCAGTCCGGTGGGGCCAGTCTGAAGAAAAGGATGGTAAATACTGCTGAAAATTGAAAAATATTTTTGGTAATTCTGCGGCTTTAAATGTGCAGCTAAAATAAATATACATAATATTGCAACTAAAATAAATATACATAACAGAATGGGTATTTCTTCATTTTTATATCCGCCAATAACTCACATTTGTATAGCTCAGAATTAAATAGCTCCCAAGAACTACATTTCCAGTAAAAGAAGAAGATTTTATTTCAAGTCTTTCAAGTAGCATTGATATTTCTTCCTTTTTTTTTTTTTTAACAGAAATGCAGCCCAGAAGAAAATGTTTTTGTCTTTAGTAAGTTAACATATTCCTGGTTTAGCAGGTGAGAATTTAATGAACTGTTTGTTGATGTTCATTGATACTCACTGAGTTACACAGCACACACCTACATTCCGTACCTTCATTCAGATTTGATCCAGAGTCTGAGCCTGAGATTGCTCTTAGCTTCCTGTACAAAAATCAGTTTACAGCTTTTATAGATCGTATTTAAATATTTCCTAGAATATTGCTTCTGCATAGAAATAGTCATTGTATATGTTACCTGATTTCATTACTTAAAAGAGATAAATACTTCACACTTGTTAATGACACCAGGAACTAAGAAATAAAATGTTACTGTCATAATAGACAATATTTTTAGGTCGTGGGATATAAGCTGCCAAATTAGACTATTCTTCCAATTTATTATCCCTGTCTGTAAATAAGGTTTTCGTTGTACTCCATATATATGTGTGATGTAACAATTTGCTAGATCTGCAGGAACAGACATTCATTAGTAGATCAAAGGTATTTTCCAAGTAGCTGATGTCTTGCTTGATCTCCGCCCTTTATAACAGGCCATATGTCTTTGTTATTGTAGATCATCTCTTCACAAGCACCACTAATGTCCCTCTACTTCTTGGGAAATTTTTCCACCCAAAAATAGGAACTGAAAGTTAACTATATCAAGTTATGCAGCTTCCTGTCACTTAATATTCACAGTGGTATTTCAAACAACTTCATGTGTTTCTGTCTCCTGACTGTTACTCATTCTTACCCTTTTTGAGCCAGGCATATACCAAACAATTCAAAAATCTAAGAAAGAAAAAACATTTTTAAGAGTATCACAGCTACTTCTTACTTTATTCAATATCATTAATTTTAGGGAAAAACTGAAAACAGTATTTGCTATTAGTAAATTGAGACAAAATAGTTGGCTTGTTTCACGCATTGAGATTATTTGGTGAAACGCTGGCCCTTGTGAAGTTAAAAAGTTTTCTGTCTATGATTTTACCAATTTGTACATCACTACAGCACAAATATAAATTTTCAATTTTCCTCCGAAAGTTTGACAATATACTGAGTGCAGCGCTGGTATATGACATTTATTAGTTCGTTTTCTTTATTTCACAGCGTTCACACAAATTGCAAATGGTCAAATCTAGGCTATCCTTTATAGTTTTTAATCGTTTCGAAAAAGTTTAGCAAAAGAGAAGAAAAAATATATAGGATTTCTCTTCTGCTCAGTGAGAGTTTGTTTAGCTATGAAATAACTGACTTGATGTAATTAAACTGATACTTAAGCATTAGAATAGTTATGTACCCTCTTTCCAGCCACAAGCAAACAAAGTTAATAAATTGTTCAATGTATACTTGCCTCAAGTGCTTGCACTCTAAGTGAAGATGTCTCAATTACGTAATGAACCTGTGATGCTATATTATATTTCCTTAGCATTCAGGCATTTGGGATTCCAGCATGATAGGCATTTGGTAAATCTGTTTATCCTTTGTGGCAACAGTGGGTTTTTGAACTAAGATGAATAGAAACAAGTATTTAAGGATTTTATTTAACTTGAATACCACCTGGTCCACTCTCCTCATTTGTCTCCAAAGCTGGCAGTCTTTGTAAGAAGCTGTGTTATTTTTGCCTTGATTTAATGAGCTTAAGATATTTTACTTTGTCGTAATGTTGCAGCTTCAGTAGACGCTTGGATGGCCCTTGGGGACAGCGGGCTCCATCCCCACCAGAATTTTACAACTTCCAGCAAAGTGTTTCTGAGTCTTATTTTTCAGTCCCGTGCTAAGCAAGTGGCACCCATGTTAGCACTAAGCCCAGCACTGGCAGGATACTCTACTCTGGGAGTGCACACTGGAAAAGAAGTGCACTGCACTTGCACAGTAGCCCTCCGGTGAGGAACATCCCTCTGGTAGACACATCCATTGGCACTTGAGCGTGTCCTGACTTTGATTCTTAGATGTTTGAGGCTTCCTTTAAGTTGAAGAACCTTTTAGTCCTTTTGCATTTTCCGTGTCTCAGAAATGATATGGTTTACTTTGAGTTAAAATTTGTCAGGCTCTTCAAACAAGAAATCCTCTATTATTTTCTGAGATGGAGTTCCTGTAGGATGAATGTATTTATCAGCCATGTTAGGCCATTTTAATATTGATTTCATTTTTTTTTTTTAACTTAAATGGATAACAATATTTTGAGAAATGAGGATCTACTGTAAGAAAACTTCCATTCTACTTGTGCTGAAACCCAGTGGTTTAAGGTTGTTTCCTTGGTTAAAGATGAGACGCAACATAATGCAGTCCTGTGATGAAAAAGATACTTCCTTTCAGATCAACATAGTAACTGAGTAGTGATACTAAATAGATTTGTTTTGAAAGAATTTCTTTTATCTCTAAAGAAATACAGTATTTTCTTACAAAGAAATACAGGATAAGAAACGTAGACACACTCTGAGGGGCAAAGTTTCCTCAGAATTTGTTGTTTGGGGTCTTCTTACTTCAGGTGAATTTCCGTATATTTAAGCTGACCATAACTAGGTGCCACTATTTAGTCCGCAACCCCTTATAGAATTACATAGATTATATTGAATGTAGTGTTTATTTGTATACCGTAAATAATATTGTTAACTTTTTGAGTTAGACTTTCTGCTTGTGTGTACTGTATTTTATGCTGTCTAAATTCATCGCTTTCTTTCAGACTAATATCTATAGGCTATAAGAAGCCATTGGAGAGGGATGACCTATTTGAACTGAATGAAGGTGATTCACCATACAGTGTGTGTCCTAACTTTGAAAAGCAATGGAGGAAGGAAGTGCAAAAGTCAACCACGGGATTAAAGGTAGTGATAATTCTGACAGTAGGCAAAATTCTTTCCTAAATTTAAGGGGTCCAGATTCTGGAGGTGATTTCTGAAACCCTGTTGTTTGTTGAACAGTCCACATTTTGTAGTTATAAAGGCCACCCAGTATTGTGATCATTCTGGTGTGGCTATAGGATTTTTCTGAATTGTTTAAATTAAATCATTTCTTAATTGTTTAAATTAAACGTTGTTTTGAGGACACTTGGGTCTTGCCACAAGCAGCTGTATATTAACACAAGGTATATTAGAAGAGTTAAGAAGTTTAAGGCTTTATTGGGAGAACAAGATTCAACCGAAAACTTTAATGAGATATTTTGGGTTTTTTTGCTTGAGTTTGCCTGTATGATTTCCGTATAAATCCTTGACATTTTCCAGTTACAGTTATTTATTACTTTGTTATTATTAAAGTGCACTCTGAGCTCCATAATGTTAGGAAGCTCACAGGAGAGAGTGCCTAACCTGTAAATCCAGGAAGAGGGTAGCTTTTGTTTTAAATAACTGAGAAGAGGGCTCCTACGGAGTTTGGCTTTACAGCATTTCCTCAATACTTCTCTTTTGTATCTGTAGATTTGTCCTTCCTTCTACTGATCATATACTCATCAGCGCACTTTCTACCGAAAGCATTCAGAAGCATTTTTCAAATAGAGTGATTTTTAGTTCAGATACTGTTGTAGCAAGCAAACTAATCCGTAGGAAATATCCTGTCCTTCATTACTGTAATAACTAAGAACAGCTGCATTACTCCCTTTTGAGCCCTTGCAAGAATATTTGCAATTGTTTATAAGCTGAAGTCGAACTGGGAAAAAAAGTCAACAATTGAAAATATTATGAAAAAATAGAAAGGCTATTCAACCTTTATTATAGAAGTTGTTGTTAGCCTGCTATAAATGGTAATGCATCTCAGTCTGCCTTGAAAATTTCCTGTGTTGTGCCCATCCAAGTTTTTGACCTGTGATAATCATTTGAGGATTAAAGTACTTTCTAACAATAATTGTGGGTGATTGGGACAACTCGAGAAACCGTATTTATCCTTTCCTAAAAGACTGCTTGCCAGACTAAATAAGACTGTACTTAATTTATTTATAAAAGCTTTTCTTCCACTTTCACTGTGGGAAATTCACTTCTTTGGATTGTAAGTGCAATGATAGCTTTAGATGGACACTGTAATATAAATTTTATATTTGTGGGGGCAGGAGAGAACATAATTTCGTCTCTTAATTCTGTGCATATTTTTGTAATTTCACAGGCTTCTTACATCAAAAGAATGCTATTTAAGAAAACAAGTTTCTGTAAACCATCTCTGATCTTCCCGCTGTGGCAAACATTTAAATTTTTGTTGATTAAAGTTGCCTTTCTGAAAGTTACAGCTGATATTCTGGCTTTCATGGGTCCCCAGATAATGAAGTAAGTTTTTAATGCGTTTCACTATATTCAAAGAGGAACAGAATAATAAAGCTAAAGGATTGCCAATATCAAAGCCAAACTAAACAGCAACTTAGCTTTGCTAAGATGGTTTTTCGGTGATTATCTCTACATGATCTAATGAAGCTCAAAGAATCAGGAGTTCCTTAGCCAAAGGACTGAGACAAAAGCAATAGAAGTTCAACTCCACAATATTATGCTTAAGTATTTAATGTGCTCAAATATAAAATCAAATAATAAAAGCAAATGCAATGCAAAGTTATGTAGCTTCCCTGCTTTTTTCTCAGTTTTTTCCATCTCTTTTTTTCAAGAAAGCTCTTAAATATACAATAATATCTACAGCTCCAGCATTTAATGGAAAGCTGCAATGACTACTGTTATAATGTTTTTGGTACCATAAGCAGGGTGGGGTTGATTTTTATAAGTCGTGGTTACCAAGGAGGTGTTAAGCATTTATCAAATACTAATGTGTTTACAATAGCTCATGAACAGAATTACTGTTAACCACCATACTATACCCTGTATCAATCCTATAGTATGCTTGGTTATTGAACAAAACTGTTAACAATAAAATCTTTTTGCAGACCTCACAGTTTTTGGTTATTTAAGGAAACCTATTACTAGCACAAAAATAAGAATTAATTTCTCTCTCTCTCTCTCTCTCATAGTCGGTAGATGTGGCCTTTCTAACTAGAAACATCTAATTCAGATTTTTTTTATGTCATTCTGTATTTGTACTGCGTTGTCAGGTCAGTGAAGTCAGCAACAGTAAATTCCTCTCTAGAATAGTTTTTGAGAATAGTTTCTAAGCTGACTAAGTGGAAAACAGAGGTAAATGCTGCTTTTTTTTAACACAGTATTTCTTTATGGCTTTCCGGCATATCTGGGAACAAAATGGATTACATAAGTTGCCAATATATCAAATGTGTTAAACTTTCTGTTGTCAGATGTTGATTTAATGTATAGATTTTAAAATTTATTTTGCTTCATTTTCAGAGCACTGATAACTTTGAGTGAAAATCGTCCTGGTTCACATAGGAGTGGATATGGCTATGCTATTGCCCTTTTTTTTGTAGTTCTCTCGCAAACTCTCCTCCATCAGTTATACCAGCGTAACAACATGCTTACTGCAGTAAAAATCAAGACTGCAGTTGTTGGCCTGATATACAAAAAGGTAATTATGTATTCTCCTACTTTCCCTTCAAAACAACAAACAAAATAAACCCTCAGTTTTAGAAAAATACTATGTTTATCAGCATATTCGAAACCCAAGATGCTATTGACTGGTGGTGGCAGGCTAACAGAGATGATTATTTATTTATAATAATTTGGAATTTCAACAGTGTTTTTACTCTACTCCTGCAATCAGATACTTTGGTCAGCCACCTGTACAAAGATAATATTGGAGATATATGAAGAAACTGGAATCTTGCTACTGTGATTAGGGCTAATTTCCCCAAATTTACTGCATGAACTGGGAGAACTTTATAGGCTGGATGTCTGGGTAAAAGTAAGCACGCAGGTGATCACTCTTTTACTATATAGTGGTAGAGAATATAAGAAGGTGAAGTTGGCCAAATTTTCCCCCTATTTTAGTGAAACTGATTTTCAGTTGATTTGGATATTCAGTGAGTTAGCCATTTTTTCTGACTTTTTTTTTTTTTAAAAAAAAGGGAACTGCTGTGGAACTGTACATATAACTTATCCGACCTTTAATTAAATGTGTTTGGGGCCTGATGCCACTTTTGCAAGGGGTGCAAGTGCTAATAGCGCAGTAGTAAAAGTAGCTGTGTCTGACCTGCAAAACATTAAAACATTTACTATTAATATTAATATATAACATATGAGATGAAGCTAGTTTCTTTGTGCTGCGTCTTTAGTTTACTTTGTTATGAATGAGTCAAGTTGATATGTTACTGCAGTCTTTACCTACTAAGCATCACTTAAGACAAAAATAATTCAAGTCTGAAATAATTCACTATGCCTTCTTAGTTAATTTAAAATACAATCTCTTTTCTGGAGAGATTCAGAGAAATCTTATGGCACAGATTTTTTGGGTATTTTCTGAGGCAGTACACAGTATTTCACTTGTCAGTTATGATGCAGGAGAAAGAGGAATTCCTTCTGTTGTGTCGCATATCAAAGTGTGTTGGGGAGAGGTGGAGTAGGGGAGTAGTATGAGGCTCCTGTTGGGGTGGAGGACATGTCTTCTAGCAAGCTTCCACAGCTACAGGGCAAAAGTATAGTTTTTTCCTCACTCTGAATAGAGTCAGTGACTAGTAGATCAGGTTGTGTTTGCCTTGTGGGATGATGGAGCGAGGAGATGCAGCACTGCCCTGTTAATTGCAGGAGCATCAGATGGCACAGTAGAAAAATGCCAGGCACCAACTGGGAGGGGAGAGATCGAGCTAGAGAGCGTGTATGTGTCTGTCTACGTGTGTCTGTCTGTCTGTGTCTATTCCCAGACACCTGGGACTTGTGGTGCCTGCCTCCTGCACTGTGACTCTACCTGTGCTTGCTGGGAAGCCTGATGTTCCCAGTTCCTGCACTGGGATGTTCTAAGCTAGCCCAGAGATGAGGCTTTCTGGGCTCTCTTTGTAGCACGGTGACCTATTTATTTCATATAAAAGAGCTGCAAGTCTGTTTCAGTGAGTTCAGCTTTGCTCTGCTGTTTATTGTCCTTTTTCCCCTTGGCACCTGAAGGCAGCAGTTCCTGAAATCCATCAAAACTGTTGCTTTCTGTGACTTTTACCCTGTGTATCTTCTGGTTACAGGCCTTAACTTTAGCGAATTCCTCACGTCGAAACTATACAACTGGAGAAATTGTTAACCTGATGTCAGCAGATGCTCAGCAACTCATGGAGCTCACTGTAAACCTCAACCTCTTGTGGTCAGCACCCTTTCAGATCCTCATGGCTGTCATCTTTCTCTGGCAAGAACTTGGCCCCTCTGTCCTAGCAGGTGTTGCAGTGCTTCTTTTGGTTATACCTATAAACGCGCTTGTTGCAGCCAAAGTAAAACGTCTGAAGGTGAGGCCTAGTAAGGGGAGGTTAACCTGTCATGAAACAGGAAAGATTTTTTTTTTTTTAGTTTTGTATGTATAGGGATAACATTGATACATCTAAATTAAAACCAAAACAATAAATAACTGTAAGCCAAGGCTGTTTCTCACTGAGGAGGGAAGCGTGCTGCAGTAAAAAATGCTTATATTTGACAGCTAAACTAGTATTGAGACTGGATACCTAAATTTTCATTAAACTGTACCAATACCTTTTTATTAGTAAAATTATTGTGTGACTCAATCTAGGAAACAGTTACGTTTTTGCATTTTACATGTGTAATTCCATTAAATATGGGATTTTGGAGGATTGTAGCTCTCCTTCACGTCTATTATCCAGGCTAAGCAGCTCACTCAAAGTTAGCATGTCCTCTGGAGGTTAGGGAATTCCCACAAAGGTATTACATGTGCTCTGTCTTCTCTGCTTCTCTCATGCTACAGTTCTCTTGGACAGTTCTCTATTGTCTGCATCCACAATTGACAATTTCTGTGGTCTCCACTAAGAAAAATATTACAATCCTAACTTCTGCATTGCTACTGAGGCTCTTATTTATCTCTATCTCATTCTGTGGCACCACCACATGCAGTGAAGACTCTGGATCTCCACATCTGCTTTTGTAGAGCTGTGATGGTTTAGACACATGGCAACAAAAGCCCTCACCTCTTTTGCAGGTGAATAAGGGATATACACAAGATCCCTGCTGCAGCATGAGAGATGGAGAAGCGTTGCAAAGGACAATAAAATAATTCTATCTAAAATTTGAAACTTCTTGTAGTATTTGAATAAGTTTCAAAACTTTAAAGAGGCTATTTATTAGTATTTTGGAATTAGGAGATGTAGAGGAGCCTCAATATAGCACCAGAGTGCAAAGAATTTGTGTGTGTGTGTGTGTGTGTGTGTGGTTTTTTTTAACTAGTTCTTTCAGTAACAATGTATTATTAGTAACAGAGAGAACTTTCTTCCCAACTCCTTTATATATATATATGTGTGTGTGTGTGTGTGTGTGTACATATATGTATGTATATATAATATTTGTGTGTGTGTGTATATATATGCATGTAGTTTTATGTGCATATAGTGTTCTATATAAGTACTGGAAGCCTGTTAAGATTTTAATTCAATGTGAAGAAAATAATGATCGTAGAGAAAGAAGCAAAGAAAGGACAAAGAGTTGACATCCACTTCTTCAGATATTTTAGTGAAAAATTGTTATTCTAGTGTATTTAATAATTTTTTATCCTATATAATGAATTATATGAGTATGTGCTTATCTGAAAATGATGTAACTGCAGTGGAAGTGTTTTTTCCAGCAAGACCAAATAACATAATAGGTACTTATTGCCTGAAGTATATTGCATATTTCACTCTCCTTTTGCTCATTGAAAAATGGAAGCTTTACTGTCCTTTAACCAGAAAAGCCAAATGAAGTATTCAGATCAACGAGTCAAACTACTAAGTGAAATGTTACATGGAATAAAGGTAATGCCGCTACTAATGATTTTTTTGGTTTCTCTGTTAACTTGTGAAGATAGAAAGTATATTATTTATCAAACTAAGGCTTCATGAGTAATCTTTTTGAGTGAAATTGAGGAAAAAAATGTAAAGAGAAAATGTTTTAACATAATATACTATCAAGTATTTTTTAAAAAAATTACTAGTTTAATTTGATTTGAAAAACGTATTACCCATGATATATTAATTTTGCTACCACCTTTTTTTAAATGAGAATATCAACTATGTTAATAGATGACTGAAAACCTTTAATAGAACGAAATTTTAGTGCAGAAGGAAAATATGTTAAAATTGACTAATTATGTTTGTTACTTACGCTTCTATTTTAAAATAAACCCACTCATTGTTTATGATATGCATGAGACATGTTGAAATGGTTAGAAGTAAGAGGGACTAGAACAAATCTTCCATAAGAACAATCTAGTTTTGAGTTACCTCGAGTCTCGATTTCATTTGTAAAGCATTCAGATTTTTACGGTTTGGGAGTGCTGAATATTTGGCAATGATATTTGGTGCTTAAATTTATTTTCTGAAGCCTGATAACTGCTTCTTTGTTTTATTAAAGTATCTTTTTTGTTTGATTTCTCTAGATTCTCAAACTTTATGCATGGGAACCTTCATATCAAAGGAAGGTCATGAGCATTAGAGAACGTGAAGTAGACGTTTTGAAGTCATCTGGATATCTGGCGACTTACTCCATGCTAACATTGACGTGTATTCCTTTTATGGTCTGTTTTATAAAGGCATTCATTCATGCAGGACTGTTTCTCATAGTCTCCCTATTGCTTTAGTAGCTGAACGCCTTACAAATGTTACCTCAGAATGTCTCAAAGACATTAAGTTTATTGACACAATATATCTGAACTCACAGGTTCTAATAGTACTTACATGACTGGAGAGGAAAGAGACAGTGAGATTATAGATTGATCAAACTGTTAGAGATCTCTGCTAGAAAGTCATTAATTAAATCCATGTCTCCTGAGTCTCATTTCAGTATTTTAATCAGACTTTATTTATTGCATGGACAATCAAATGCCTTCTTTTTACTCCTCTTTTTTGATGTTTTAAAGGAATGGCCTTTCAGTCTGCATTTTTTCTCATCTTCTTCCCATGCACGAAACCTCTAAATATATGAAAAAAGAATAACAAAAAGTACAAGCCAAATTCATACAAACCTCGATTCAGTGGAATTGTATCAGGGATGCATTTGAACTTCCTTTTAGATCCCTCTGTTAAACTCCGTCAGAAAGTAAGTGGATCAAATTGGAACCTTCATTTGGGATAAATGACCACCATTAACTTCAGTCACACAAACTGGCACCTTGTTAGTGCTTAACTTGCAGTATGTAAGAGCTGAAGAGGAATATTCCTTAGGAGCAGTGAGAGGGAGGATGAAGGTCGTGCTTTGTCAATCTATTTGAACCAGTGGGTGAGAAGAATTCACAAAGATTAAACTGAGATCAGTGCCTAAACTCAGCAGAGTCTGTTCTGTCATAGGACAGAAACTTAACTTTAGGCTTTTTGGGTGATTCTGAAGGCTTGAGTGCCTTTTGTGTAGGAGGCCAGCTCACTCTGACGAGCACAGAAAAGAAGCCTAGGGACCTTAGCCTCACCAAGCTAAGAGCACCCACTGTGTTATGCCCACAAGGCCGATGGTACGCTCTCAGTCATCCCTAACAAAGCAAAGCCTTTAAGACAGCTCTGCCTTTTATGAAGCATCTGGGCTAATGAACATGACTGCAGAGCATTCGGGTGAAATAGAAAGGGCCAACATCTCTGTTGGTATATTATAGTTTTTACTCACAATGAGACGAATTTGGTCATCAGTACCTCAGGCAACTTTGGAACACTGAAGAAGAAAAATACTACCTTAATTTATTTTGCTAGAGAGAGGTTGAAGATAGTGATTTGCAGACATTTTTGAAGAAAACTCCAGGTGGCCAAAAATAAAACTATCTGCCTGCAATAAATAATTTTACTTTATGACCAATGTCACAGCAATGTTTAGCAAAATGAAAACAAGTCTGAATTTGCTGAAACATCCTGTTTCAATGTTTTCAAAATGAAAAAATGTGTTCCTGAGATGGGAGAGCTATTTCCTGTGGTTTCATGTGTATCCAGCTGGGTTGAACACAGTGGCCATGTATTTTGTATTTATTTCAATAATAAAATTGAAATAGTACTGCACTCCATAGTGAAGCCATGCAATAAATTTCATGTGCAACAAAGGCAGAAGAGTCCCTGTTCATAAGTGAACAGATCTAGGATTCCATACCTTTCAGTTGCAAAGAAAAATAATAGCCATGTATAAATTTTAGTTATAATGTGATTTTGCTTCCAGATGTATCTTTTGTATTTTTTTTGATTTAAAAGGTCTCATTGGCTACATTTGGAGTCTTCTTTCATCTGGATGAGGAGAATGTTTTAACAGCAGCTAAAGTTTTTACCTCTATTTCTTTATTTAACATTCTGCGACTGCCATTGTTTGATTTACCATCTGTCATCTCTGCTGTAGCCCAGGTAAATAGATTATGAATAGAGGTGCTATAAAAGGCTCATATTTAGCCTGATCTTGATCTTCTGTGTCATGTATTTCATCTATTTCTAGGAATGATTATGTCAATTATTTTGTTATCCTTTATTGAGATGAAACTGCACCTTATCTTGATGCAATGAGAAGCGTGAAAGATGTTTAAAAGGTATCCCATGAGTTTTAACTAGGTTGATAATGGCGTAGCGTGCCTGACTGTGGCTGGGAGCCTGATTTGACTTCATTTATGGTCTGCACACTGCAAGGTCGAAAACTTTTCATAAGGTTTAGTTCCAATAGCTTAAAACTTAGCACAAGTGTAAGTAAGTTCATTGCATTTCACATCACAGCACAGAGATGGTCATCTCATCATAAACTCACAGTGAAATACTGTCTTTCAGCTTCATTGTTTTGTTAGGGCGTAGTAGCGTGTACAGTTTCTTAAAAACAAAAAAGCTGAAAAGAACCGGAAGTGTTTTCACCATCAGTTTTTGAGCAGTCTCATTAAATCATTAAGAAGAACCAGCCGTTCAAAGATTAGCTATATATTCTAATGTTGGATATGTCAAGCATGCTCTGTTATTTTATAGGTACTAAGCAGTAGATCCTCAGAAAAAAAATATACGTTGTTGAATACTTAATCTAATAGAATAATTTTTATGTAACCATAGCACCTTTGTTATCTATTTTTGAATAAGACAAAATGTTTTTTCCATGTTGTTTAGAATTTTTAAATTATTATTTACAAGTTCAAATAATGTAAACATGTTGCAAGGACTATATAGATTTGTTCATCTTACAGACCAAAGTTTCTCTGAGCCGTTTAGAGGATTTTCTGTATGCTGAGGATCTTAATCCTGAAGATGTCAACACAAACTACAGTGGAAGTAAGTCCTAGTTATTTATTTTTCATTGCTTATTAGTTTATACAGATGATGATTAAGGACCTCAACTGAGGGGGTGGATTTGCAAGTCATTGCTCTTTTTTCTTTACTGCAACAGATCATGCTGTTGGATTTATTGGTGCTTCTTTCCGCTGGGATACAAGTGGCCTACCAGTCTTAAAAAAGTAAGATGTTTCTTAGTTATTTTTATGAACTCCTTTACAGAATGTGAAGCCTATGAAGAGTCTGGTGGAGTAGTTCATGATGGTACATATCAAAAAGAAGGTATGGTACCGTTTCCAGAGTAGCCCCTGTGATCGTGATGCTCTGGAAAGTCAAAAGAACAAACAAGCAAAATTTGCTTATCTCACAGTGGTGTCTCATGCTTGAAAAACAATCTTCCTTTTTTGTCATTTCTTAACAAGGTATTTTCCTAAGTGCAAACTGAACCACGCTTATACTGCTACATGATAAACGCATTGGAAGGTTAATAAGGAAATGAAAGGGAGTGACCAAGCTTCAGAGTGGCATCAGGAACCTGTTTGATAAGTTCTGTTAAATATCATTAAGACAGCTGTAGAGGTTACAGCCCACACAGTCCAAACCCCTCACCGCATGGTCTACCCTATTCCTCTCAGGGTGGGGGGCATCACTTCCCATAGCATGGCACTGGATGCCTGAATATCAGCCACCATAGCCTGTAGTATAGGATCCAAGTATGAACCACCTTCAGTACCATATACAGACTTTGTGAAAGTCTGGTACTGTCTCTGCCTGCAGTCTTCTTTCTTTACCTCATCTGAGTTCCAAACCCCAGTCTGAAGGGCTTTGCCTAGGGCCTTCAAATAAGAACATGCTTAGATCTGGTTAGCATGGAACGCAAGTGGCTCTGCTTGTATGCTGAAGTTTATGAGTGCTTACTGTACCCTGAATAGCTTCAGAATCAAACCACAGCTACTTTTGACAGCAAAGTATATGGAGATTGAAGGACAGTCTTATTTACCCAAACAGCTTTTTTTTTCTTTAATTGGGGTCGCACATTGGCTACAGTAGATGCTATAACAGTGGTACACATTGTGAGAAGTCTAGCAGTTGATTAGCAGAGTAAGATGGAAAATGAACCACAGGGCTGAGAAAAATAATAAGACTACTTTTTGGTTAGATCATCTTCCATTTGATTCTGTTGTGACCAAAGGAAAGCATAACTTTTTAACTTGCCAGACAAATAAAAATATTTTTAAGATCATTGTTGAAAGTTTCTGAAGTGTACATAGTCAAAGGATGCTAAAACGGAGGTACTAATCCATGATCATTGTGAGGGTAAAATATATGTATTTCTTTCTTGGAGTGATCACAGTCCATACCTTATGCAGTATTTACAGAGAGGGTAACTAATTTGTCTTCCTCAATGTTTCCAGTCTGAGCGTCAGCATTCCTGAAGGCTCTTTAGTTGCAGTTGTGGGACAAGTTGGATCTGGAAAGTCATCTTTTCTTTCTGCTATTCTTGGAGAAATGGAGAAACTTGAAGGAACAGTTCAGAGACGAGTAAGGTCATTTTTTTCCCCTCCATAACAAAATTAAGGAGAATCTGCTCTTGGAAGCGAGTTTTTACTACTCAACTCTTTATGACTGTGAAAAGAAACATTCTGGCAATGGAAGCTTCAGTGCTTAGCTTCTTAATCTTGAATCTTCAAAGAAAACAAGTAGCACAGTGTCATTTGGTAATGGTGTAACTGTTTTAAATTGGTTTCAAGCTAAGTGATGATTGCACTTATTCTCGTTTTGTTATAATCTACTATAGTTCCGTGCAGAAATCCTAAGTGGTTAAGTCATATATTGAGCCTAAACATTTGGTGGCTGCTGATTTTGAACAGCTGTACAAACATGACCGACTTCTAGCAGCGGTAAACTCATGGAGAAAATGATTCCCTCACTTTCAGTGGCTTGCCTGTAGAGAAGATACAGCATATATAAATACAGGGGAAAAGTTGAGCTTTAGGCAAAGTTAGAATTAAGATATTGGCTCTGTCAGTGACAGGAAATGCTGTAGCTTAACTCTTTTTGGACGAAACAATGTTAGATGGAGCAGTGAAGGTGCCCATCACAAAAAAAGAATTTAAGGAAGCTTTTATTGGTTACAGATGTGCAAAAGGCTAACCTCTAATCACAGACTGCAGTGATAATTACAGTGCTTGAGGCAATAAACATCAATTTATAACCATAATACCCGTTAATGCAGTTGCAAGTGGATGTGGCAACACTCAGCCTTGAAAATAAGGTTAGAACAAGAATCTTCACTCCTTTGGAAACCTAATGGTATCCTAGTCGCTGACAGAGGTGAGGAAAAGGGGACGAAGCTGAAGTGTTCCAAATCTAAGAACAGAAATTAATGGGAAGAAGATGAACTGTGTAGAACCTAATAAGGAAGACTTATGCCCAACCTGTGTATCCGTATTATTTATTTATAATAAAATTAATAGACTTTCAAAGGGCATATAGCTTAATATAAGAAAGGAAGGATCTAGGAGCATTTCCAGTCATTATTCCTGTCCTGTAGTCTTAAGTTCTCCTGGCTGGTGCATTTCACAGCAACTTAAGTAAAAATATAAGCAGCCAAACTCTGCTTTGACTTAAAACTAACATGGGCCCATTTTGCTGTCTTGATACATATAAATCTTTCCTTACAATGGATGCCTCTGTTGCTGTCAGTTAGATCTTTCCCTGAAAAAGACTTCACTCAATATATGTTCCAACTCTGTTGCTTCTATTCCAAATACGTGCTCTCATGCAAGCTGTTTAACAGTGTAATAGTGTCCAAGTTTTGGAAGTAATGACTAGTTACTTTGAGATAAAGCTAGAAGAGCAAACATTTTAAAATGTTTTTTTTTTCATGTGCAGACAGCCAAAGTAAGAATTTGTTTCCAATTCTCTCTGTTTAGGGGTCAGTGGCTTATGTTTCTCAGCAGGCTTGGATTCAAAATGCCGTTTTACAGGAAAATATTCTCTTTGGCTCAGATCTTAATAGGCCATACTATGAGCAGGTTTTAGAGTCTTGTGCTTTACTCCCAGATTTGGAGCAGTTACCAAATGGAGATCAAACAGAGATTGGAGAAAAGGTGAGAATTTGAAGAGTCATAAATGATACAGTAAGCTAATTTATGTGCTTTTATATTTTTATATATGATCCATATGATAACTAATACTGATGACTAATCAGGGTTCAACCAAGTGCACCTAGCCTAACTCCTTAGCTGTCTGTAAACTTAAGTTCAAGCAGTTCAAGTTCTGAACTCCTATTCGATTTTGAATAGCTTTTTTCCTTATGGAAGTTTTTTGAGTCAGCGCTGTCCTGTTCCCCAGGGTTTCTCTGAATACTGTGCCTGTAAATAATAGTTGCTTTTTAGTTTTCTGAAGTACCTTGCATTGACTCATTTTGGAATGGGAAGTTAATCAAAGGGCAAACTTTGCTCTTATTACTTGAAAATCCAACTTTTTACCTTTTTATTTTCATATCTTTTCTAAAATTTACTTTGATTACCTGAACAAACTGATGAAAAGATGAAATGTGATACACTGGTTGTCTTTTGTATTTAAATGTGGATTATTTTGACTTTCTTTTCTTAGGGTGTTAATATAAGTGGAGGGCAGAAGCAGAGAGTGAGTCTGGCTAGAGCAGTATACAGCAATGCTGACTTATATCTGCTGGATGACCCCCTATCTGCTGTAGATGTACATGTGGGGAAACATCTTTTTGAGAAGCTGATTGGGCCGTCAGGTCTCCTAAAAAGCAAGGTAAAGCAGGAAGACTTCTTTTCAATTTTGGGATGAAGTGCTTTGTATGATGCAACAGACACAATGAAAGTCTCGGTCATTCTGCAAAAGCTTACCTCTTTACCTAGTATGTAAATGACAAGTATTCTGAATAAAGAGACTAAATAAGTAGCACTGCTGATTTTGCCAGCTTTGAAGCCTATCAGGGAGACATAGCAGAGACCAAGAAAAGATTGAGAAGTGGGATGACCTGGGAGACTGTGTGTCTCGTAATTTTTGGTCTTTGCTCATGTACAAGCAGACATTGAAGAGCGCTGTGATCTGTCGTCCCTCTTGATGCGTCAGTGCAGTAAACAGGCTATAGAAAGAAAGGTTTGTTGAACAGAAAAGTTCTTGAGGAAGAATGGAAGCAGAGGGAATAAATTTTCACAATTAAAACTGTTAATGTAGGAAGGTAAGGTATCTGGTAAAAAAAAAAAAAATCTCTTCAGTGTTCTGAATTAATGCTGATTACTACTGCTGGCTAAAGTCTGAAAAACACATGGATTATATCATAGGTAGATGTCCTTCACTTGCCCTCTCATCCTTCTCCTTTTTCTTAATTTATCTGCTCCATGGGTGATAAGTTTCTGGCAGAAATAACTGCAGTAATGGTAGACTGCTAAGCAGAATTAATGGTGAGACTATCAAACTAGATGTAGCGTATTAGATTGTAAAGAGAAGAGGTAGTTATTACAGCTCTTAATTTAAATGATTCCTGAACAAAAGATACACATTAAGAAACAGGTAAGTACAAGCATTATCAAGTAGCTATACAAGTAAACAATTTGACTTTAGGATTGGCAATTAAAGGAGTAAGGTAGTAAAATATGCAATAATAAATCATTAGAATGAAGTAGACAAGTAGGCAAAATCCCAGAATATTCCATCATATCGTTCTAGCCATCCTACTATAACGTGCTTTGTTTTCATATGGAAAAATGGAAAACATTCTGTGTTTCAGACTCGTGTATTGGTGACACACAACCTAACCCTCCTGCCTCAGACTGATCTTATAATAGTAATGGAAGAAGGCAGGATAAGTCAAATGGGGACTTACCAAGAACTGATTTCAAAGAGAGCTAACTTTGCTGAGCTTACTCAAGTCTTCACTACAAAGAACAGAAGTGAAGAGACAACCCCAGTGAAAGGTGAGAGAATTTATTTCCTACGTCTTCTTAGGGGTTTTCCTTGTCATTCAAGCTTCCCAAAATATTCCTCCTCCATTTCCTTGAAATGAATAGAATAATTCCTAGAAAACACAGAGCATTTCCCTGTAGGTTTTAATTTAGAATTATAGGTTATAAACTGACATAAAATTCAGGGCATTACTGCCCTGAAATCAAATGGTTTACTCTTTCTGCTAAAGGATGTGTGATCAGGCTGCCTTATGCAGCTGTTCTCGACTTTTACATACTGTATTATTTATCTGCTAAAATTACCTGATTCTATTCGAGCGTTTATTATCCAATGAATGACTTTTGAATGCCGTTTTGAGTGCTGTTTTGAATTAATCTTGTGGTAGGTATCAGTGACCTTGTCCTATTTTGTATTAGGTGCTCCTCATTTCCATCAGCTTAGACTGCTCTAATCATGGAGCACAGCATAAAGAGTAGGAAAAAATGTTTCGTTTGTAGGAGAAAAAGTAAATGAAGCTTCATATACTCTTAAGAGATACTTCCAGCCAACAAGTAGCATGAACAAACAAAAAAACCCATAGTATTTTTAAAAAAGCATAGCTATACAACAGTCAGGCTGGTTAGGACTCACCTCACTCCTGTACATGAGTTAATATGTGCTCTTTATAGAGTAGTGGGAAAGAAATAGGTACATTTACAATGCAATTTATTTGACTTGTTTTCACCATTTACTTTAGAAGGAGATGAATTGTAGGTACTTACTTTCAGGGAGGTAATCTCTCCACATAACTTGTAAGTGTCTTACAAACATCTGCAGCATCACTTATCTTTTATAAGTCTGGTTTGCAGTTGGCTTAGCAACCCTGATTTGAGCCTGTAGCAGACAGCACAACCTGGTGAGCTTATTAACTCAAGCCCCATACTGGAGCGAGCACTCTCAGATTTTTGCTGGGGATTAGTAGGAGGGGAAAGACAGAACAGTACAATTGCGAAAGGCAGCAGTGCCTTGAGCAGCTTGACTTTCTCTAGGGATGCTTCCATGTAAGGAAGCATGTATTATGCCTGAAGGGGAGTAAAGAGAGGGAAGAAGGAGCAAGGAAACAAGGAGGAGAAACAGCATGGGGTATGTTGTGATACAAAAGTATGCAACAGTGCATTCAGCATAATGAATGTATTTAGAAAACATATCTCTGTCTTTACAGATTTGTTGACTTAAATGACAGCAATCTACCCTATTCCTGAAAAAGGTGTTGACTCCTTTTTGTTTATATTAACGCATAAGGAACAGCAAGGTGATCTGTTCTGTATTCCAGCTATAATGCAAGAATGTTTTGAGATACGCAGTAAACTTAATATTTGTAGGGAGTTATAAAATAATACTTTTACTAAGCAAGAACAGAATTCCAAAGAGATTCCATACCATATGCTACCATAGTTATTTTTACTTCAGTAAAGATACACTAGCAGAAAATGTAGAATTCTGTTTTCTTTGCAAAGCTTTTTACAGTATCTTTAAGAAATGTTAATTCTGACTTCCTTGCTTTGTGTGTTCAAAGAAAGTGTATTGTTTCAAAGTATTTTAAAAGTTATGCTTATTAACTTCTTCCACATAATGAAAGAGATTTACTTGCTGTCAGAGTTCTAGCATCTAGCCATAACTTTATCCATCTGGTGCAGTACATGTCTCAAGACCAGGGGACTGACTTACAGAATTCATAAAGTAAAGTATCCCCATTCATCACGTTGTCTCTTTTTTATTTCTAGCTTTCTGTAGCGTACCTCTCTACACATGGTATAATAACTGGAAATATTTTTCTATTTTTTCTGCTATAGTGAGTTCTTCAAGAGAAGAGGGTCAGCTAGGCAAGAGTCTGCCACAAAGAGAACTTTTGAAACATACAGAGTAAGTATTAAATTTAGCCATTACCTAATTGAGGTAATGCTAGAGCAACCCTAAGTGGTTATACCGCACGCTGCACCATTATCCTCCACTCTGTAAACATGAGTTAAGACTGAATGCACGTTAGCGGTTGGATGCAGTGTGTGCGTCTGGATCTCATCTTCTGGCTTAATTTTATACCAAAGGAGTCCAGTTAATGTGCTGCATGAGTTCAAGGGCTCCAGTTCATGGGCTGCTTCACTGCGTGAACGAAAGCATGTTGAGTGGGAATGACGGGGAGTTTCGCTTCAGAAAACTGCTGAAGTCACTGATGTGGATCACAATTCCCTTGCAGCAGTTTAACTTCTTGCTGTATTAACAAGTAGTTTATGTTTTTTTGTTTTTCCCTGTAGCCTTGATTTATCTTTGTCTACATTTAAGACAACCTCCAATCTTTCAAATAGTTGAATGAACTCCTAGATCACTTTATAAATTACTATAGTGGTATATCAGCAGTGGGGAGCAGAAGATAGTACAAAGGTCCCTGAAGTAGTAGAGACTTATGCTAGCAAGCTCAGACAGTGCAAGTCACCTGAACTTAACCGCTTTGGGCCAGAAGTAATAGAATTGGGTGTGTCACGTAGTAAGCCCTATTTCTAGACCCAGACTAGGTCTGAGGCCCAAGTCACACCACACTTATGTGCCTTAGAAAAGGGTAGTCTCACATTTCCAGCTCTAAAGTCAGGCTGTGCAGAGCAAGCTCGGTTTTATCTACACGTAATGATATGAGGCATGAAAAGGCCATACTGAGTATTGTCTTTTGATAATAGAGTTATTCTAAAAACATGAATGGAACAGCTGAATGCAATTTATCTCCTTAGAAGAAAAATCACAAGACTTTATAGAATGCATTTTTGCTTAGGAATGAACAGATATATTCTGTGTACGATGAAAGAAGATCTTAAAATATATTTGGCATTCTCGTTTGCAGTCCTTCCTTTGATCAATGGAGAACGCACACAAAGAGTAAAGAAAAAGTTGCCACAGGTGGTGTAAGTATCCCTAATAGAAAAGGCTTTGGCATTTGTTTTCTTCTACATAGAAGAAAAAAAATGTTACTTTGCAGTCATACCTGTCTTGTTCTTGTTAAGGTTACCTGACATCTAATTACTGAATTTCAAATCAATCTTCATTTTACCAGGTTTTAAGTGCTCAGTGTGAAACTTTCTATTTTGATAATCTGCTAGAGGCTGAATTTTTGTATTAAATCTAGGTCCAGTCTGATTCACATATCTCATAAAGGACAAGCTTAAGAGAGCTTTTACCTCCATTAGAAAAACATTCTGTCTGCCTCAGCTTTAGGAAGTTTCAAAAGCTGTGTACTGGCGCAGAGATGAAGTTTTGCGTGATAATACTGCTGCAGTATTGTTTTATATTAGAAATGCACTTTCTGCTGTCTCCATTAAAAAATCTGCCAGTTGCTAGGAAGATGCCAAAGAACAGGTAAAACAGAATGTGGAGAGGGCCAAAACTTGCTGGGATGCTATAGCCAGATTAGAATTAAGAGCAGTGAGAAAACAGGAATGAGTTTCCAGCAAGAGAATAGAGACAAACACTTGAATTTGCAGAAGGGAGATGGAAGAATCTGTGCCAACCAGCATTTTCCCCCAGACCCTATAATGACATCCAAGAATCTGCCATTATTCTGCTGCCTTCAGTTTTTACCTTTCAGGTAGTCTAACTGAGTTTATCCTTGTTAGTCCAAGACTACACCAAGGATGAGAACTTTCTCCTGCTGTGACTAATTCCCTTAGCTCCAGTAGCCTAGAGTAGCAGTTCTAAAGTTTCTAGCTCCATTGGTGAATGGAATAACATTTGCTTCAAACAAACTGCTCAGGTGTTGCACTCTTCTTTTTTTTTTATAGTTTACATATATAGAAGATTTTTGAAGTCTGGCACCAAAAAGTATCACAAACAAGCTTGCCTATGATACATGTTGTTAAAGAGCAGAGAATGGTGGTGGGAGAGGAAACCTCTTTGCAATGTGATTCCATGTACCTAAGTTATCAGACTTCATTAAGAAATTCTTCAGGTTTATTCTGAAGAACAAAATGTATGCAATTCCCGTCATATAATCTATACTTGCCTTTAACAATGATAATGATTTTTGGAAGTAATTCCTTGTGTTCCTTTTTATATATTTAGATGAAAATGGCAATTGTTTTGAAATACCTGCAAGCTTTTGACTGGCGATGGGTGTGGCTAACCATAGCTGCTTATTTAGGTCAGAATGCACTAGCTATTGGACAAAATCTGTGGCTTAGCTCCTGGACTGCAGAAACAGCAGAAGTTAATGATTTCACAGAATGGAAACAGTTGCGAAATTATAAACTTGGTATCTATAGCCTTTTGGGATTCATACAAGGTAAGGATGAGCATTTATGACTAATTTCTCTCCATTAGCAAAGTTTATCTACCCGAATGTTTATTACTAAAGAAATAACACTGTTATAACACTGTTATAATAACACTGTTTCATAAGCAAAATTGTATACAATAAAGTATAGTTATTTAACCTGGCAGAGGAGCAGAAGAGATACCCAGCAGTGCAGAAGAAAATGCTATTTAATTTTATGGTGCTTCCTGAAACATCCACATCTCACCTGCTGAAGTTATGTTGGCATGTCAGTGGGGGAGCACATCAGTGTCGGTGTATAGTAGCACGCTAGCTTGAGAGACTTAACTGCAGGGAAGATATGAAGTAGTAGGATGTGCCAGCAAAATACGGAGCATTTGTTAAAACAAAGGTATGAAGTAGAACTATTGGATTGGTCACTGTGGTAGAAGACAGGGACAGAAACAAGCTCCTCCTCCTTTCCCTCCTCAGCCATTCATACCGTTTTATTTATTTGTTTACAAGGTCTTCTTGTTTGCTGTGGTGCATATGCGCTCATCAGAGGATCGCTTTCTGCTTCTCGGGCATTGCATCATCAGATGTTAGACAGTGTATTGCACCTTCCTCTTCAGCATTTTGAAACTAATCCAGTCGGTCAGATCATCAATAGATTCACAAAGGTAAAGGGAAAACTGATGCATATTTTCAATTGCTTGAGTAACTGCAGATTTACTCCTCTTTAGTAGTGTTGAAAAATTAAAAATATTCAAAGTAACTGAATGCAATATCGAGAAATAGAAAGTTACTTCAGTGCATAAAAAGTTAAAGAACTGTCTCAAGCCATTTTCTTTAAAAATTCCTAAAATACATTGCTAGAGGTTACTTAGACCCTCTCCATGATCATTAGGGGCCTGTTCCTCAAACGTAATTTCTGCAGCGCGACAAATTTACCACAGCTAAACCTGATCTGTTTTTTAAAATTTATTTATATTGCTCTTTGATGTTTTATTGCATATCTCAATCCAATGTTATTGCCAAAAACAGTTAATATATCAAATTTAAGTTCTCAGGAGTATATAGGCCTACAGTTAATGTTATTTTCTATTTTATAGTGCTTTGACTTTAATTGGAATCTTTAACACGTAAATGGGTGTTATTAACTGACTTGAACGCTTTCTATTACCATCATAAGCAGATTGTTTCACTGCATTATAGACCATTTCAAATACAGTAGCTGCTGATAGTTATATTCTCTGAAATGGATTAAAGGGTTGTTGTGCAGTGCACTGAAAGATTAGTTGATTTAGGTTTGACTTCTGAGTCAAGTCCCTATTCTGTGGTTGCAATGTATTATAAACTGGGTTTAAGAAAACTTTATAGTGTACAATAAGGAATTAATAGTTTTTCGGTACATTTCTGAATCATTAGCAGAAGCACATAGAGTAGTTAAGAGCTGAAATCCAGTCTACATTTCAGTCTAATATGATTTCCATAAACTAAAAAGTATTGGTCTTTTTTTGTTTTCACCACACCCTGAGTCAGTTGTTTGACATACTATGTCATTTAAAGCTATTGTATCTATTCCAGTATTAGACAATAACAGAGATAGATATAGTAATACACTTTATTAGGATGTCATTGGTTTTTTTCCCCCCAGGAACTATTACTGAAGATATTTTAGTTTGATCTCATTTTTAAATGGTGCTTCCTTGAAGTCTTTAGTGAAATGTGCTCACGGTATTAATTCTTTTGTGCATTGTTACAGGACTTATTTGTAGTGGACATACGCTTTCATTACTACTTACGAACTTGGTTAAATTGTACACTAGATGTTATTGGAACCATTCTAGTTATCACATCTGCCTCGCCACTATTCATAGTGGTAGTTATTCCCCTGGGATACTTGTACTTCACTATCCAAGTAAGTTCATTAAGCTTTTATAAAGATTTCTAGATGTGTGTGCAAAACAATCATGGATGCAAGTATAAATTACTTCTTGTTCTGAAAAATATACAGAACACACCTGAAATTTTTTACAGAGAAGAGCTTCAGGCTTCTTAAAAGGAAATTAGAACACTTCTTGAATGTTTCCTCTAATGTTTAGGAACTTTGAACAACTTACATTCATTTCTTTATATTTGCCTTTTTCTTTGGAAGATACAGTATTGATACAGAGCCCACGAAGAAATTTGATGAAGTTACCTGACAAAAGTGGGGCATAGGGAAAGTTAAAAGCTGAAGAGTAACTCTGAAACAGCATGTGTAATAAATAAAGTGATGCCTAACTTATCTGTACTATTTCTTGTTTGGAGTGTGAGCTGTGTTACTGAGAAGCCAAAAGAATGTTTGGGAAAGACTAATGGCTGCATTCCTGTTTCTTGATGCTCAAATTATGGTCTATGATAAAGAGAGTCTAGAATAAAATAAGATTATAGAAGAAGGAAGAGAGCGTATGGATTCAGTCTTTGGTTAAGGAATTTTAGTACAAACATCATTACATAAAAGAAATAAAAGCTAATTGTCATCTAAGTAAGAAACAAGGCATTCGAATTTAAAAGCTCACATGAAAATTTTAGTTGGTTGTCACATACCTCCAGTGATATTGCAGTGATATTCTATAGAGTTTGGAAATAATTTTCTCTTATTTCAGCTTTGGTAGTAATTTACCTAAATCAAAATATTGTGGTTATGTAAGCATTGCAATATTAGTATGTCCCCAAACATACTTTTTTCTGTGTTGTGTATAAATAGCTCTTTTTCTTTGTAGATACTTCCAACTTTTTCATATTCAGAATTTACAAGAATAACTTAGAGGTTTAAAAAAAAATGGAAAAATATGGCAAATGTTTAAATCAACAGAAAAGAAACTTTAGCAGCTTAAAACATGTCTCTTGTCCGTATTGTTTTATTAGCGCTACTACATAGCGAGTTCACGACAGATTCGACGGCTAGCTGGAGCATCACATTCTCCTGTGATCTCCCACTTCAGTGAGACTCTCTTAGGGGGATCAACGATTCGAGCATTTGGCCACCAGGAAAGATTCATTAGAAAAAATACTGATGTCGTGTACGAGAACTTGGTTTACTTCTACAACAATGTCATCTCAAACAGGTACTTTACAGCAGTTCTGCATCTCTAACTGAGACCTTCTATAGAATTCTACAGCTAAGTGCTTAGTTTCAGTCAGAGTGAACCCACTCAGAAACAGAAGAAAGGACAAGAGCAATTTATCCATCATTCTTCGTAGTGAACGCATAGATTATGTTTAAGGACTAGGATGAATTCTTCTTTATGTACCAGAAACTAGCAAATTTATGGGAAATGTGTATGTGCTGTCTAGGATGAGAATGTTTCTGAAAAAGAAAAGGTTTACAGCTAGTTTCTGGACGTGGACTGTCCTATGTTTCAACTGACAGTTCCTCTTACAAATTCATGACAAATCTAATCTGTATTTCATTATTTCATGAGGAAGTAACTTGGTGTCTGTACCTACAGTGTAGCTATGAGTTAAATCCTGGGTATGAGGAAATAAGTGCATTTCCCCTTCCTCCTTTATCATGCAGTACCTTGAATCACAAGCAGTTACAGGCAGGGATTAGTGAAGAGGGGGTTTTCAATTCTGATTTTCATTCATATACCTGAATCTTTTTAAGGTAGGAAGAGTAGGAAAGCAGTGTGACTAATGAAGGGCCGACTGGCCAGGATTCAAAAGATCTGCATTTTTTTTCCTAGCTGTGCTAGTAGTTCACAATTTACTTTAGATATGTCATATTCCCTCCCCAGTCCATCAGTAAAATGGAATGGTAATTCTTATTTTGTAAAGCAGGTTGAGACTGATCTCAAACAGCCTTTATATTTACTGTTTGTTCACTATGCCATAAAAAATTCAGTAGGTAATTTACTTTTTTCCCTGCCCTGATTTACTACAGGTGGCTATCTGTCAGACTTGAATTTCTAGGCAGTTTAATGGTGTTCTTTGCTGCACTATTTGTAGTACTGGCTGGAAATACAGTGAATTCTTCTACAGTGGGTTTATCCGTATCATACGCTCTAAATGTAAGTAATGGTATAGTTTTGATGTTCTGACTCTTGTTACATATGAAAAAGGAAGAATACATATGATGAAATTGAGTAGATGAAGATATACAGCAGTGATATCAGTGAAACTGAATCCCATGGGCAGAACAGAATATTTTTGAATCCTATTAATTCCAGGAAGCTTTATAATTATTTATCCACTTCTGAATTTAAATGAAAGAATACTTATTAAAACATGCTTAAAAAATAAGGTTAATCAAACTATGCATGGTTTACTTTGAAGTGTTTCTTGCTAACGCTATGTAGGAATGCTTACTTATGAGAGTACTAGAGTCATTCACTTTGGCATCATGCCTGTAAAAGTAATATGCGAGAGCCACATTTGGAAGGTAACAAGGTAAGATTTATTGGTGAACCGCTGGTTAAAATATGGGTTAAATATTATATACACAAAAAGTAAGCATCCAAAGTTTTTTTTAATCTTGCGAAGCTTAGGAGCCTAGTGGTGGCCAGATTCCCCCTATGGTATGTGCTTAACAAGCACAACTGACAGATATTAACTAATGCCTGGCAAATTTAGTTTTAAATTTCTATTAGTAAGGGCATATCCACATCACCCCCAACTCACAAGAGTTCCATTTTACGTTACTCAGAGACAGAAGAATCTCCTTTATATCACCATATATTCAGTGATGGCAATCACAGATAGTGCAGGGTTTTTCACCTTCCTCTATTTTATGTCAAATAGACATCATTCTTTATTTGTTTACCTGTGGCATCTCAAAACAGTTGATTCTACGAATTCTTTTGGCTCACTTTTTTTCCTTTTGAAGTGCGCATATTTAGCCACAGAACTGTTACTACTCCATTATACTGAAGTGATACCACTTCTGGCTGCTGAAGCATTCTCCATACTTGAAAACAAATTTGGCAGACATAACAGACCAGATTCATGTCTGCATTCTCATTCTAGATTCTTTGTTCTACGTCGCTAGCTTACTTTATCCGGGGAGTAGCACAATATATGCACAATATGGGCCATATATATCCTTCTTTTCAACATATCATGCAATTACAGGGCATTTCATAATGATCCTGAAGTATTTTCAGATCTCTGGAGGTGTTACTTTGGTGAAAAGTGTTAACAATAGCCATTGGGCAGTCTTGACAGCAGTCAAGAAGTGGTCAGAGCAACACTGAGATCAGTGATATCAAAATGACAGTTCATTTGACAGGCCATAATTTTCTGTATAATTTCTGACTTCTGTGATTAAGCACCCAGCCCTGTGAATTGATTAAATTCAAGGTAAGTTTTGAAATTCACTAATCTGTGTTCTAGTAGAGTCAATGTTTTTACATCCTACAATGCAATTTTTTCCCCAGATAATTCAGAGTCTAAATTTCTGGGTGCGTAAAGCGTGTGAAATTGAGACCAATGCAGTTTCAATTGAAAGAGTTTGTGAATACACAAACATGGATAAAGAGGTGAGCATTCTTTTTGGGAAAGTAAATAAAATATTTAATTTGCATGCGTAGAAAATGACTCACTTGAATTTAATATTGACAGGTGGTAATAGCAGGTTATAATTTGCTGTTACCTACTTTCTCAAAGTTTTTACGTTGAGAATAATGCGTAGGTTCCTCAATATATTTATTGTACTTACAGTTCTGTTTCTATTTGGACAACTCAGTTTCCTGGCATCTTTAGCAGTAGTGAGACTAATCTATCTATAGCTCCGATGAACTCTCTTGGTTACCTGCAATCAAGAGGAACATTTTAAGAGGAGAACACAGGGAAGAGTAGCCTGCCAGATCCCTCACTATCATTCATCTCATGAGAGACATTTCTTTCAGAGCAATTGGCCTTAGTTATTGTGTTTTTCTGAGAGTACTGCCTGTATCAATACAGAAACCAAAAGCCATGGTCTATCTATCTCAGACATAACCCTCTTATCTCTCTTCATTCGCTTTTATCCCTCCCCAGTTTTTCTGTTTCTTTACCTTTGTTCGTATCTTTCTATTCTCTCTTACTCTGCTTTTTTGGGAGAAAAAAAAGTTTCTTGTAAAATATGCATTTTAAATGTCTGGGAGATTAGGCATCCGATGACATTCACTTCCTGGCCTGTGAATTGACAGAACAGATACCAGACTATTAGCAACTACTCAGTTAAAATCAGCTGACTTTTTAAATGAATACATATAATGTTGGTTTTTGAGGGGGAAAAAAAAATCAGTTTGAGTGTTGTCGCCCAGTGTCTGTTGAGATAATTCGCTTCTCCCTCCCTTATATTGCATTGGAATTGTTCTAAGCCTGCTTGGATTTTTAGAGTTACATACCATATGTATCATTTTCCTAGTGTTTTTAGTTGACTTGTAACATTTCTACTGCCATAAACTGAAACATCAATGGTTTTAATTCCAGGAACCCTGGATTACTTCGAAAAGGCCACCCATGGGATGGCCCAATAAAGGCATAATAGAGTTTATTAACTATAAGGCTCAGTACAGGAAAGATGTTGGTTTAGCCTTGGACGATGTCTCTTTCCAGACGAAGAGTAAAGAGAAGGTATTGTATATAATAAGAAATAAGTCAGACATACAAACTTCTGTTCCTCAACTTTCTACTTCTAAAAGATTCCGTGTGAGAAGACTCCAATACTATATACAGCAAGATTATGCCGAACAGGAAAAATGTTAAGTGGAGGAGCTAGATTAAAGACAAATGGGAAGAGGAAAAGTATTTTCTCCTATTCACTATAAGAAACTGGGGTACTGTTTTATTTCTCCCACACACTAACTGGGGGAGAGTCTCTTTGAATACAAGATAAATGTTTACTTAACTTCCTGTTACTTGAGAGGAAAAAAAAGCATAGGGGAAGGGTGTTACCAAGATTACTTTTTAGAATTTTCACTACATCATGGTCAAGGCAATCAAAGTTCAAAAGTTTCTTGCTGGGTATAAATGTAGCTTCATAAGCTCTCTAATTTGCTATTTTTGAATTGGTTACGTAGTGGCTGGAAAAAGCAGATCCTACATTTGACATTACAAGAGACCAGATCGCTAACTGCTATGGAGTGACATAGGTCCATTGATGTAGAATCATAAGAATGGAAGGGACCAGTTGAGTCAGAATGCTGTCCCTTAGTATCAAAGGTACTCATATCATACAAACTTGTCTTTCTTGACCTTGTCTAATGTCTTTTTGCCTGTATTACTCTAACTGTAGAAGTATTCCTCACCTTCTCTGCACTAATGGTTAGAAGTCTTTTTGCTAGTTCACAGCCAGCTAATACCTTTCGGCCTTTCAGTAAAGGTATATTGACCCCGTGGTTAGACAGATTTATAATGACTGTCTTTAAATTCCAGTAGTGCTTTAGACTGATTGTCCAATCCTGTGATAGATCAAATGCCTCACACTGAGCTAATGCTGAGCAAAATGGGGAAACAAAAATGCTGTATTTGTTTATGCCAAGCTATTGCGTGTTTTACAGTGAGGCATAACTTAAGTTATCAACCTTTCTCTGAGCCTTAGTGGCTGCAGAGATGAAGATAGCACATCATCATAGGTAAGTGAAGCTGTTCATGGGAATGGCAGCTCAACAGTGTTAGAGAGCAGCAGCTTAATAGTGTTAGATAAGGAGAAACGTGGACTTGTCTCAGTTCCGTGCTGCTTTAGGGCCTGTGTGAAAAGGTGACCTTTAGACTATGTGATCCTAAGGTGATACTTCTGAGGTGATGCCTTCCTCTCAGAAGCATGGATAGTCACATTCCCAACTAGATTTTCCAACTGAATTTGGCAGCTTTAAAGAGGATCTAAACTTGAAATTCAGCTTCTTGTCCATTATGTTTAATATTTATTCAGAGGAATATACTGTCAGATTAGTGCTAATCAGCTTTGGGTTTAGGATCAAGGAACAGAGCACAAGACCTTGTTGGGAGTCATTGGTTTGAGCTCAAGAGTGCTAGACAAAAGAAAGGGGGAAAGGAAGGGCCACCCACTGAACCAGGCATAGGCTATACAGCTTCTGAGGGAGAGCTGCGATTGTGAGCCAAGTAGTCCAAAAGTGAGTTTTAAAAAACTTGGTGTATATAGGACTGTTTAACAGTTTTACCCACCTACAATATTGCATGTTGGTTAAGAAAAAAAGTTTTGAACTGAAAGTTAAAAATGAACTTACGAGTCATTTTTCATGTGCAACACATAGTACAGAAAGTTACAGTCTTTATCAGAAAAGTATCCATTCCAGGTTGGAATCGTTGGAAGAACAGGAGCTGGTAAATCAACACTCACAAATTGCTTGTTTAGAGTTCTAGAAGGAGCTGGAGGCAAAATAATTATTGATGGAATTGATATATCCACTCTTGGACTCCATGACCTACGTGGAAATCTTAATATTATTCCACAGGTAAGATTTGTTTTAGAGATAGCTATTACGCTGTTGACTGACACAAGACATTTAATGTTTTGTGAGAAATTACAAGTCCAAAGGCTGCCAAGAGGCAGGGACATAAAACTCAAATAGTATTTTACTGATCTTTGAAAACAGGTTCTGTACTGGCCTATCAGGTTTTAGAACTGAATATCTGAGAGTCTTAGCTTTTTGATTAGACTAAGTCTTATGTACTGCTGGCATCATGCTATCCTGAAAAAGGTCACATCTGTGTATTGGTATTAATGTGGAAGGAGCCTTGAAGCAGGTGAGACCACAAGTATGACATTAGGTTTTATTAGGCCAGGTTTAGTTTAAGAGTCCTAGCTATAATAACTCATGTATTCTCCAGAATCTGTAGGTAAATAGCTACATATGATGTTTTCAAGTCTTACGTGGAGGCAAAGATATTTAAAAATGTGAGTGTCTGAAGAATTTAGGGAATAAAGTGATGAATATTGTGACATGAGTCAGGTATACATATTTAAATTAATCCATTATGGTCTGTCTTGTGGAGTTGTCCCTGCTTACTTCAGAACAGGGCAGAAAACTCAAGATCGGTTCATATATCATTAGGATTGTTGTTATGCTGCTAATCTAACTTACTTTTGAAATAGAAAGTAAAACCTAGATATCTGACAAATTTAATGGTCACCTAAAGAGACTTTTCACATGTTCTCCGAGTGTCACTGGTACAGCCATGTTTGTATGGGTGATGTTGATGTAATCATTAAGTTTATATGACTCTTTCCATGGGAAGTTCTGTTTTCTTTTAACTTGTCTGAACTTTTAACCATATTAATGTATTTCCTTTGTCTCTACCATAGACTGTGCAGGGAGAGAAGGCTAGGAGAAGAACAGTTAAACCAAAACAATTTGGGAGTTTCAAAGAATGAGTTGAATAGAAAAAGAAAATACTTTATCCTTCCAAATTCTTGGATGCTATGCTCAAGGGAAGGATAAATTTACAGTTGTCATGGTATAACTTTCGGGTCAGAAATTAGAATATGAACCTGAATTTAGTTATGCTGAGAGACTGCAAAATACAGCAATTCACACATGCTCAGTAGTAACATTTTCCTTTAGTCAGCTAATGATCTAGGAATCTGCATAACACATGCAGCAGTTGTAAGCTGCACAGTTTTTCTCAACTGCAGTTGCAGGTGTGATCTACTGTGAACTGTATATTGGATCCAGATCAAGGCAACTAAACTGAGACCAGGTGCAGACCAGCAACCAACAAGCTGGGAACAGACAAGGAAACTAGAACTGTAAGGCTAAAGAAGTGGAGACTAGAGCTTATGGCAAGTAGATGGAGTCCAGAGTGTGAAACTGGGTAGGCAGGGAGAGTGGAACTGGATGAAGAGGAAAGTCTGGGACAGGGAAAAAAAAAAAAAAATTGTTCTCAAATTTTGCTCTTATTTAGGACCCCATCTTGTTTTCTGGGACATTGCAGTCAAATTTGGATCCACTTGGAAAACATTCTGATCTTGAACTGTGGGAGGCACTGGAACTGTGTGACTTAAAAGATTTTGTTCAGTCACTCCCAAATAAGCTTCTTCATGAGATTGCAGAAGGCGGTGAAAACCTAAGGTATACAAACAAGCAAATGCTTATTGCAATATTTCCCAATAGTGTAAAATTATCCTACTTCAGGACAAAAATTTACTTCAGAAAACAGCAGTATAAAAATGTTACCACTCCCTTCATTCTAAGTAGAATTATTCTGGTGGTAGGAGTTTCTTTGAGGTGGGCAGCTGATGACAACTGTGCAGTATCCTATGGCTTATGCTATATGGGAGGCTAGGGAAGTGGACCCTTCTGGGTTCAGGTGCCTAAGTGGGTGCGCAAGTATATGAGTGACTTTCACACATCAGCTGATAATATTTGGATAGAAAAGTGTTGCCTTATAAACAACTGGAAAGAAGGCAAAATTAAAAAGAGCTTGGTCCTTTGCCTTATTTGCTTTGGCAAAGCAACTCAGTTTTTTCTTCTGTAGCAACGTGACCCCATAGATATGCAAGGAGGGAGACATTTGACACAGAAGGACTCTAAACTCTAGGAGACGTACCTACTGAAGATTTTCAGCAGCGAAGGGGCAGATCAGAATTTAACAGTGTAAGAATATTGTAGTAGCAATAAGAGTATAAATATATCAGAGTATATTGAAAATTAACTTGGATTTTTAGGACAGATTATTTTCAGGAAGCCGTTTCTAGAAGGCATACACGACAGATAACATACCTAAGAGGATCAAAACTCTTACCTTGAACATCCCTTATTTAAGAAGTAGTTTAGCTATCAGTCTGGCTTATTCAGAGTCCCCATTATAATGGGAATATAGAAGTTGAGGGCAAGATCAGGTTTACGCTACAAAGTTCTGCGAGTATAGATTAAAAGTCACAGCTTAATCATTATTGATACGCTGAGAAAAAAAAAGGTTTTTAAAAAAAAGCTTCCCAAATAAGATGAACATATTTCGCCCATCTTTTGACGAGTATAGGGCATTATTGATGAAGACAAAACAGATATACTCCATCCTATCAGCTTTACATCAACTCAAATGTCTAAGATTTAGTAGTGAGGAAAAAAATTGTTTTCTTCTTCCTCAGAGTGCCTGACCTGACCCTTCTCACATCTATTTTTAACAGTGTTGGGCAGAGGCAGCTGGTCTGTCTTGCCCGTGTTTTGCTACGAAAGACAAAAATTCTGGTCTTAGATGAGGCAACAGCTTCCGTTGATACGGAAACAGATAACTTGGTGCAGTCCACCATCAGAAGAGAATTTTACAACTGCACAATACTAACTATCGCCCACAGGTTACATACAATCATGGATTCAGAGAGGTAAGTTTTAATAGACCATTTTAAAAATATATGTCTTCCTTTAAACGCATTAGTTTTCAGACCTACTAAATCTGACAGCCCTAAAACTTGTTTACTGTAGTATCTTTGTACCCATAAAATCCAAGATATCATGAAAGACCTGTGCGCTGATATTAAATACTGCTAATCTGTGTTTTGTTTCTCTCTTCTAATTACAGAAGGGATTTAACCTTTTCCCCCCCACTAAGGTAGAGGTGTAAGCTACCACTAAAACCATGTAGCTCGCTAGAATAAACAGACTACGCTGCAGAATCTTCACCAACTGAGCAAAAAAATGCATTTTCAAAAGTTTTTTTAAATGTAGTAGTTCCTAGCTTTAGGAACAGATGAATTACCTAGTGCAGAGAGATTTCTTTTAAATAAGAGCTCCAGTTAACAAATACCTGTAGTAGGGCTGGAAAATATGATTAAATAGCTCATTTTTCCGCTCCCATAATTTTTCTACTTTTGCATTGTAGAGTGCTTGTTCTGGACATGGGAAGAATTCTAGAATTCGATACACCACATAATTTATTACAACAGAAAGGTGCTTTTTCTAAAATGGTCGCAGAGGCTGGGATAACAAGATAAAGGAACCTAATGAATGGATTCTTAACTCCAGTCAACGCTCTAGGGACATGCGTTGTTCCTGATGTTGTAAGAGGCTAGCTTCCTTGAAGGCTCCTCCCGTTGCTATTTACTACTGCCAAAATCTGTATATATTGATCAGATTTCTTAAAGTAACTGTTATCTTTTTATACATATCACTTACTTTGATCATACTGGTACTGGAATAATATAATGAAACAATGATTTTCATGGCATGTTTTAAACGTTGCACTAGCGAAGACGGTAAAAATATATCTTAATGCTCACACAAATCACTAGCTCTGTCCTTATTTTTAAGGAAAAAAATGGTGCATAATTAAATTGCTCGGATATTACGCTGATTTAGTTAATACATTCTTATTGTGAACTTACAAAAAACACACATGCTTATTTTGCTGACACGCAGGCTGATATCACTTGGTGCTGATTTTTAGGACGTGCATAATTGCATGTATATTTCAGTGATTCTTGAGGCAATATACTTGCCACGTAAAGCTAATTTTCCTTTTAACGTGGTGATTTCAAAGTAACCGAAAAACACTTTATGTATCCCATTGAGCATTGCAAAGTCACATGGTGAAAAAACCCCAGAAAAAGAGTCAGCTGCAGATATCTTCTTGCTAGTAGATTTTAGTGCAAATCTTAACACTAGTTAGCGTAGCAGGACAGGTTATGCACATTTACTAAAAGCATCATTTAAACATACATGTATTCCAGTAGGCCACATAAATACTAATTTCCATTTTTATTACAGCTACTAAATCTCTTCCAATACAATACCAACTTAATCAATGCAATATTATCTTAAAAATAAGATTCCCATAAACTTATTTCAAAAATATCTTCTAGGTATATGAATTAAGCAGACTACAGTGTTTCATTACTGCAACATTGACTCTCAACTAGGATCTTATTTTTTTGCCTTTTAGCAATCAAGCCATGTTTGCAGTTTTAGAAAGGCGGAACGAAATGATGGAGACTTTCTGAAGAGATTTTTCCCCAGATGTGATTCTAATACTGTGAAGGTAACAATTAACTTACTTACTTAATTACAGCAATGAGAAGGGCTCATTTACTTATTTCTTTATTCATTCCTGAAGGTTAAAAAGAAAGTCTGCCATTCTACATTGAAGAGGGAGTATCTAGTTTAATTGACCACAAACACGACATAGACTATCACCTGCACAAATCTATTAGAAGAACAAGATAAGCTGATTTTAGAACCAGTTAAGAGCAGGTACAACAGAGGCCACATAACTGTGATCCTCTGGTAGTCCCAGAGAGACAGATAGGACAGAAAGTTTGGCAGGAGAGAAAATAGCTTCTTGCAGAGCACTGCCGTTTCCTGATCTTTTCTCCAAAGCAAAGCCAGCGGCAATTCCCCAACAGAGCAGAACTTTCTCATAGCAATGTTTAACTTCCTTCGTAACAGCGCATAACGTGGCACAGGCACGTTCTTCACCTGGTCCCCGTCCCTACTCACCTCTATACTCACCACCAAATCTACCCTTTATGCAAGCATCCCAGGAGAAGCTGTAAAAGGCTGAAGCAGGTACCATTCCTAAACTGATTAATATGGCTTAGGCTTAAGGAGGGGGAGAGTAGAGGCTTTAGTGTCTCAGACACCAACCCCTTTTGCAAAGTCCAGAGAAAATAAGCTGAGGACTGGCATCAGTGCATGGTAATTCTGGCTCCCCACCCCCAGAGGAGGGTTTTCTTTGCTTACTGATGGGCTAACATGGCCTTATGACTTTGGATTACCTTCAGAGTGCACAGCTGGGGAAAGCTGCAGACTCCAAACAGTTGCAAAGTCTGAGAGAAAAGAACATGAATGGTTAGAGTCAGCAAAAGCTAACTAGCTGTTCCTTCTCTTTTGACATGCTGAAGTGCTCGTGTGAACATATACTTTGAAAAAAAGGAAGTGCAGCAGAGGCAGAATCAGTGTGATATACTCCTGCTATGTTTTCATAGAGCAATAGCTTCCCATACTCACATATTAAGCTGTATAACAGGCTTAGGGCAGGCAGGAAAAAGCAACTTAGTAGTAAGACTAACACCCAAGATCCCTAACTTCTGCTGCCTCAAGCCCAATGTAAGATGATGGGCACATAGGGAGATACGCTTAATGTAGGAGATAAAGCAGGCCCATTTGGCTCCCTCAAGCCCTACATCCGCTCATGCTTTGCGGAACCTGACACAAGCTACCAAACACAGTGGCATCAATAGGTAACCAGCTAACTTCCTTCGCAGTGAAGGTGAAACCATGTTGTAGCCCTGCAGGCCAGCCCAGCACTTAACCTCAGCTCTCCTGCTGTTCCTCCTCCAAACAGCAATGCTCCAGGGCCTCCAGGGCATTAGAGAATCCACCACAGTATGAGAGACATGAGGCCTGGCAACAGGTCCCAGCGTCATCCTGTGAGGTAGCCTATAAGCATCAAGCTCTGCTCTGAGTGGGCCACCGCTGACTGAGATAGGAAAAGGTGCAAGGGAGGGCAAGTGTGGAAAAGTCCAGCTTGGGGCTTTTCCCAAAGGGCCCAACACTTCTTGCCCTTGAGGAGTTCCTGCTTCATCCCCTTCTCAGCTAGGCTGCTTGGATTAGGGAAAGGAAGGGTAGGATGGTCCAGACTGTCAGGGCCAAGCCACAGGTGAGCAGTAGGGCCCCTTGCTTCCTTTTTCTTTTTCACAGGTAGCAGCACCTGCTTGTGCCATGTTTCAGCTTCCTTCCCCACAGCATTCAGAACCCTACAGACAGGCTCCTCTCAGGCTACCCCTAACTTTGCTCCAACCATTACTCCACCCTTTCCTGGCAGCATCGCAGGAGCAACTGGAAACAGCTGAGAGCACCCTGTCCTTTCCCTCACAGGAACCTAACTGCTAAAGCCCACATCCTCTACAGCCTCTTCATCCTTTCACTTGACCAGTCCAAGCCCTCCCACCCTCTGCCTGGCCACCTAACCAGACTTTCTTTGCTCCACTCCTTCCTTTTCTAGCCCACAACCCCACCTCTATCCCAATACCTTTAGAGAGCGTTTGCAAGTCACTTGCTCCCTGCAATATAAAAGCCATACTGCTAACCTTAAGCCCAGCCCAACCTTCCCCTAACAGGCAGCAGTTACTTATGGGTGGCAGAAGGCAGGAATTTGCAAGCACCAGAGGGGAAAGCCAAGCCTTGGGAAGCTCCTATTCCATAAGCTCATCCATCAGGCATGTGAGTGCTGACCTTTCTCTCGCTTTGACTTTGATACCCTGAAAGCACCTCAGATCAGAGTCAGAAAAAGACACAACCTCAAAGCTGCAACAGCTGCTGAGCCTGACCAAAGGCGCATACAGCAGACTCGTGTTGGCACCTTCCAGGACAGATTCTTTTGTTCTTGGCCAAGGCTGGCTGCCTCCCCTCTGCTGGTTAGGGTGTACCTTCAGGTTAAGGTTATGAAAAGGAGGGACTGCCTCAGCAGCCATTTCTGCTTTATTCACACTTTTAGGGGACCTTCATATTTACCTTTGGAAACAGCTCAGGTGAAAGTAGGAGCCACTGAGTTTGAACAATTTAGTAAACCTCACATTCAGGCACAACAAATCAGTATCAACAGAGACCAAGTGGTGATTTCTTGTCTCTGTGCTGCATGGTGCTCTTAGACAGCAGCAGTTAAAAAAGTGTTGCGCTGCAGAGCACTGTGGCATTTTCTCTTGCTGTGGTTCCAGCAGAAGTTGTTCATGGAAGTTCTAGATTGGTTGAAGCTGCAGGCTGAAAAAAATGCCTTTATGAAACTCCACCATCATTCAGGCTCTTTAGACCTTACTTTTTTCTCTGCCTGAACCCTAACATGACATACAGGTAGGGACCCATTCACACCTGGAAGCAACAAGGACTCCTTGGAACCCACAAGGGCCAGCTTTCCTGCTGCAGCTTTTCAGACTGCACCATTTGTTCTCATTTTGCACAAGCCTGCCCCTAGCCTTCACTTTGTGCATGTTTGGGGCCATCATGATACCCATCTGCCTCCTCTTATTCTGCTCATGTCCATCCTGCAGTCATTGACTGACGCAGAGGGAAGGTCTATACCTGCCCCCTGCCCAGGGAAGCCAGCAGACAGGACTCAAGCAGCATAGCAGTAGGAGGGGTGGGAGGTGCTCCCTCTCCCAAGTCCCCAGGAGCAGGGGGATCATTGCTGTCCCTGCTTGTCCCTCTGACAAGGGATTGCCTCCCCAGTCAGTGTTTCCTCCCAGCACTCCTTGCTTTTCCCCTGTATCAGTGTGCAATCTTTTTGCATTCCCATTCCCCCAACCCATAGTGCAGCTTGAGAAGCCAGGGTCTTCTCCTTCCCACACCAGTTCCTAATACTCTGCACCAGTTTCTGGAGAGGATCTGTCACTTCAAGCTACGGCAGCACCTTGGCAAGTTGGAGCATTACAACCTTATCCCCTCAACTCCAAATGAATTCAAGGAAGGAAGAGGGAAGTAGTGCTGTTAGTCTTTCCCTGAGAAACTGAAACAAGACACGTCTAAGGGACAAGAGAAATTGCTTTTATTAAAAACATCCTAAAAGGCTATTTATAAAATGCATTTCATCTTCGGCATTTGAAAACAATTCAGGAACACAGAATTGGTGAAGCATCTATACTTTCAACATTTCAACCCATGAGATAAGCATTAGCTATATAAATATTTGCATTACAGCATAGGCAACATTATTCAGATTTGAAGGGCAGTTTGTAAAGGATGTCAGCCTTCAATGACAATTTCTGTTTACACAGAGACTTCTGGTGGTAAGCAGTACACATGTATACCTGGAAAGATCCATTTAGTACAGTGAAGATCCTTCTTTAAAAATGCAATGTTTAGTGCCAAAATACAGTACCAAAACCAAAGATATAACATAAATTACTTGATTGCAGAATTCAGAAAACAGTTATCTAATAAATAAGGTTGCATTGTGAGATATTCAATGTACAGTAACTTCTGTTTAAAAAAAAATCTGTAGAGAAATATGAATAGATACCCTTTTGTGAAGTTCAAGTAAACAACAGCTCACCCTTCCTTTACAATTCCCAGATTAACACTGGAAGAAACCTCATTTTTGAACTCCTCTAGAGTGAAGGAGTATACAGAGTACTTCATTTACTTGCATTGAGTTTCACATTTTAAGTTATTCTCAGATTCCTGCCTGACTTGTCCCCAAACTCGTAAAATGCTTCTGATAGTTTAGCTTGACTATAATGTGGTTCTATTTTATGCCTCTGATCACTCTGAAAGTGCATTAAAAATGAAGCCTCAAGACCTACTGTAATTCCAGTATACTTTGAGAAGAACTTACAGCAGGGCAGAAGGAAAGGCCACAATGACTCAAGACTAAAATCAAATACCTGCACGTATATCTGCAAGGCAAAGATAGCAAATGCATATGAGAACTGTACTGTATACTGGCATTCATCCATGATTTCACTGAAGCTACCCTTCTTCCAAGTCAGGAGATAGTTATATTCATCTTAGTCCCTTACCACTCACTTTAACTGTGCAATATTTTCTTTTGAAAACATTAACACTTTTTACTGAAAGCTCCACACACAGACTTTCAGGGTCACTGTCAAAGAGGTATGAAAGAAAAAAAAAAAACCTTCCTATATAAAAATCACTTTGGTTTTCCACTCAGTGAAATAAAACAGATACTAGCAATATTTTGGGAATCTTCTGTGAAGTTAAATAACGTTGATGGAATAGTTACATGAAACTATGATTCAGAGGTTTTTTTTTTTTTTTAAATTGGATTACTTCAAAGATATAATTTACACGACAGCTATACAAACAGCTGAACCAGCACAACTAAGGGGGTGGTGCCATAAATCAGGTCTACCACAAGGAGAATAATAAAGATACTTCAATATAGTCATAGCTGCAACGATAAAGCTAAACCCCAAACTTTATCTAGGTAAGCTTAATATGAAAAAATAATTCTGAAGCATACAGTAAAATGCTTAGTACCACCTGTTACTAGAGCTTACCTCATTAAGACTGGGGTTTTATTAATGGATGTCTAAATGAGTTTTAGCTGAATGAAGTGTTTGCACTGTATAAGACAGTCCTACACAGAAATGAACATACCCAGCCTTTTAAATATTATAACTCTCCAAAGAGTAGAGGAACTCAGTCACTAGAATGAGTATCAGCTTCTCTTCATGCATTTGCTAGATAGCTGGGCACCAAAACACTTGCCTAAAATAAACTCCCAAGAAAGGCTACCTGAAATCCTGGGTTACATGCGCCGTTTCCCTCCCAAAACACTCACAACAAGCTCTAATCTATGTTCAGTTTAAAGTGGGGACTAGGACAAGGAACTTAAACCGCAGATACTAGCTAAAAAGTACAAAAGAGCTAGGTGAATTTTCATTTACTAAAACTTCAGGAACTAAACTTCTTCCAGGAAGTCCCTTCTGTCCCACGCTTTCTCCCCCAAAAAAGTAAGGCTAGGGTGGCAGACAGGGAAAGAGGGCACAACCTTGTAATTGCACAAACATGAAATTCATGTTGGTCAAATTCAAGGGAAGAAAGATTGTATAGGTATAACTTTTTAAAAAATACATAAAGTTCATACAGTTTTCATATCAAAGGGATTATAAATAATAGGTGGTATGCACTTGTTCTCTGGTAAAAACACTAGTGGTATGAGACAACACCTACGAGTAACAACTAAACACAGACCAGGAACTTAGCTCTTGAAGATGCACTAAGTAGCACTGTGCATTAACAAGAGCTAAAATTGTTAACATGGTTTGACTGAACCAGGAGACAAGAATTTGCCATATAGTCTCAATAATATGCTGTTATAAACAGCAGAAGAATCAAGTGAATGCATAAGTCTCATTCAAGCTGCAATATGCCTTTTAGAAAGGTGCTCAAATGACTCAATTTAATAAATAACTTTAAGCTCAGCACTGCTAGTGCTATGTGCGCTAACACAGATTCACATTCTTTCAAAGTATAATATATTAAACATGGAAATACCTATGGCACAGTACCACATAACCTGCAACCTTTGGTCACGTTCCATTTATATTATCATTATTAAACAAACACCTCTTCAGGATTTGCTAATAAAATTTAGCAAGAGAGTGTGGCTATGTCATCATTAGCATTTTCATCCAATATCCCCATCTGCAAGTCAGCAGAGGACGCTTCAGAACTTCAAAATCACTCATACCTTTGAAGTAACATCTAGCTTTAACACAATTAGGTGTCCAGAAACACCTAATTGTAATAGATATAAAAATGGATATAATATGGCTAAGATTAGGCTCCACTGCCAGTCAGATAAGTATGCACCATC